TAATTCGGTCTTGTCATTAAATCAGTCATCACACCTCAGTTACCCATAGTCCTTTTTCTTTTTGAATTTCAAGAAACTATAAAACTATGACATATAATTCAATATTTCACTTCAACCCATTTGCCAATTTCCATACATCAACAAACCTATTGTATGTTACTGGCACATAAATTCAATCCATTCTAGAGAAGTTTTGATGTGTATTAATCAATACCATATATAAATAAAATATGTCCAATCTCTAAAGGAATGTGGCATTCTTAATGCATGGAGGTTGTTATGTCAATGGATTCCAAAGACAAGGAGAATAATAGAAGAAAATAGAAAACCAGAGGACCCCTGAGGTATTTTTCTGTACGATCCTTTGCTTATTTTCTATTGGGTGGGGAAAGGGGCCCCTCCCCCTATACAAATAGTAAAACAGTTTAGTTCAGATTGTGTCCAACTAGATGCATGGCATATGCTCCAATTTCCTAAAACAAATCATTTGCTAGTCAAATTATGTAAATACGAACACTTTGCAAATCAAATAAGCTAATTGTGGACTATTTGTTATAATTTACATGTTCGGTTAATGTTAGTTGTAGAAGCCACACATACAGGACAAGTAGCAACTGCTTCAAGATCCAATTCTAAAACATAATAATGCACAACCAAAAGCACATATTAGAAACAAAAACATATAAATAAACAAAAACGTATAGGAGAGAGAACAACTTCTTGAATATCCAATTTTTAACTTACGTTTTGTAGTTAGTACTTCTAACCAATCTTGCCTACAAACTAGAGCCTCCACTATTTCTGAAAGTAATGAAGTACAATACTGATCCACTATTCTACCCCTAGTACTGAATGTTCCCTCGGATACTATAGTGGATACTGGAATTGACAAAATATCACATGCCAATATAGAGAGATTCATAAACTTGGGACCATTAACTTGCTAGAATCTCAAAATATCAAACTCTATCTTCACCTCTAGGAAATAGTTTTTCTTCAAGATAAAGATCCAACTCTGACTTTTAAGTCCCTAGACAACATTCCGGATGCTCCTCAATCAACCACCAATCAAAACCACTCAAAAAATCTATGGCACCATGAATCCTCAATAGCTAAGATGCAATACTAGAGCCTGCAAGTAACCTTTCCTCTGTATCAAAACCCACATACTTTGAATATAAGTCATTTCATTGCCTCTCTAACTCTTGTAACATGTCTCTCAGCAGTCTCTCCATAAATGTGATTGTAGTAATATGTTATAATCTCCATCTTGAACCTGTGATCAAATAGAACGATAATCGCAAGCACCAAAGAACATTCATCCCAATATTTATAAAATTTTTGCCTTATTCTATTTGCCACCGAATGAACATACTCATGTTCACTATCTAGCCACTGAAGCAACAGAAGCTTGATTGTGCAAATATTGGGAAAAATACATTTAAGGTTGAGGAAGTAGTACTTGAAAAGTTTCTTGTGTAGATGTAAAAAAACTTGCAAACAATCCCATACCACTGCCCCCATCTCCCATTCCTCATCAAATGGTAGATTCTTATAGTCATGATCGAGCTCGACTAGTCGACAAAATGCTTCCTTCAACTCTAAAGCTATGTCCAACATGTCATATGTGGAGTTCCATCGCATTGGACAATCAACAACCACCCTTCTCTTATGCTATACTTTTGCTTGGCTTCTTGCACTATCAAATTTTTGCTTCTTATGGGGTGTCAGCCTTACACATTTAGCACTTTCTCGAATCTTATGCAACAATGTTGATATTTCTTTCAATCCATCTTGCACAATAAGATTCAAGATGTGAGAAACACATTTCACATGAAATATGTTACCATTCAATGGGAGCAAACCCTTGACACAGAGCCAATTCCTGAGCTCCCTAACCATAGAATCATTGTTAGAGGCATTATCAACTATTATAGAACATATTTCTTTTATCAATGTTCCAAGTCAACAAAGGGACAATCAACTACCATAAACACAATAACATTCTTTTTTAGCTCCCACCCATCATCTATAAAATGTGCTATTAAACAATAACACCCCAAATTATGTTCCAAAGTCCACATATCAGTGGTTAAGCTAATCTGACAATCCAAACCATCAAAATATTTTTACAACTTCTCCTTTTCACCCAAGTAAATCTGCATGACATCACTCTTTATTGTATTTCTAGAAAAAAAACCTAAATGATCACTGAAGATTATTGACAAATATTTGAAAAAATTCTTCTTCAACTATGATAAATGGATGCTCATGCTTCATTATCATCTTTGCTAAGTTCATTCTACTCCTAACTTGGTCTAATCTAAACTCCACTTCAGCTTGTTGTTCACTAGTGCACATTTCCTTCATTTTAGGACATCTTGGTAAATGACACAACAAGGGGCTTGTCCCTTTACTACTTCCTCCCATATATTGTTTTCCATAATATATACAAACAACTTTCTCCTCCCCATAATCCAATCTTATTTTTTAAAGTGCTCCCAAGCTTTAGATCTAGTCCTCCTTCGACTAGAACTCGATGCCATAGATGTTTCATTGACATCTTAAGAATTGCTTGCATTTTCAATGCTAGGTTAATTCATCCTTGATACATAAAGATAAAAAACAACAAAAAAAATAAGATACATAATTGTAAAAACTAAATATTCAACTAAGAAGATGAAAATGAGAATGCAAATGCTATAGAATTTGAAAACCTCAACATAAGATACATTGGATATAAAATGGGCAAAAACCTTAATAGAAGATACGTTTCTAATAACCCCCCTTTTCCCCCTCTGTCAGTATAATAGTCAAGGAAAAGTTCACTTCTACTATAAATCAAAAGTGAGCTTATTCTCCAGAAATGGGTAGAAATCATAGGATGGACATGCCAGAGTGTGGATTTTCTTAAGGATCAAGATGCTACTAGGACTGTACTAAACATTCTACAGGTATTACTTTAGAGAATGTTGTCAACCCCACAAGAAAAATCAAACAAAAGGATGTCAATGCTGCAAGGAAAACCAAACTATTTCCATCTGATAGAGAAGAGTGAGAGAATCCTGGTTCTAGTCTTCCAGATTTCTAGAGTTACTTCGAATCGCTGAAGAGAAGAGCCACTTGATAGAGAACTGCTAGAGAGAATTCTTGCCAAAGAGAGAGAATCCTAGTTCCAGTCTTCTAGATTTCTAGAGTTTCTTCAAACCATCGAAGAGGAAGAGCCACTAGAGAGAATGCTTGCTAGAGAGTGAGTGAATCCTGGTTCTAGTCTTCTAGATTCGCAAAGTTGCTTTAAATCGCCGAAGAGAAGAGCCACCTGATAGAGAACTACTAGAGAAGAGTTGCTTCGAACGTTTGAACAGGATTTTCAGAACTCCAAACCTCGAACAAAGGTTCTAAACTTTGAGCCTTTGAAGGTTTCTTTTAGAGTCTAGATGGTTTTGGTTTCGACTTTCGATGGTTTCAAATTGATAGGGTTTGGCAAAAAAAACTATTGGGGTTTTGGTTCAGGGCCGACTCGAACCAATAAGAATATGGACAACTTTATTTTGGATTGGCCCAATCCAACAACTATAATGGACCGTCCAAATCCAATTTGATAAGGTTTTGATCGGATTGGATCCAACCCAAAACTGGTCAATTGACACCCCTAGGGCTAAGTAATGCACATCAGGTTGATTTAAATCTGGGGCTAGACTTCAGGTGAGTTATTTATCTTTACATTGGGATTTGCTTGTTCACTAACAATAGCTTAGGCCTTTTAGCTTGTATTAGCTTTCTACTCTTATAGCTTGGTTTGTGGTGGACCTAATCTGATCCAACTGGCCCAATAATTAGGATGGAATCACAACCACACTCACCGACAACACTAGATTTTACAAATGGCCAAATGCTCTCTATTTTTTCCAATTTCCATTATGCTAAGATTTAAGAATATTTATATTTGATTTCTTTGTAAATATTTCTCTGATTCCACTTATCAACCATGTTCTAGGGATAGAGATTTTCTCTATTCTATGACCAAAATGATAACAAACTCAAAGCCGTATAAAAAATGTAGAAGAATATGGGTTGCAATTTAATCATATGTAGTTATTGTGGCGACTGTATTTAACTTCTACTTCTTCTTTGTAATTGTTTGAGATTTCCCCAAAGGAGTTGTGCATTTTTTTCTTCCAATTTATAACGAACACGTTTATGTAACTAAAATTGAGTTAATTTGTTCTACTTCTTATTGGTTACTTGAACTTCAAAATTATGTAACATAAACTTAGAAGTATGCTCCTGAACTAGATATGTCATTGCTTGTATTATACGATCTGAAGACAATTTCCCAATTTGTTAATAGTTTTTCTTGCATAGAACTCTCTTCCTATAAATTGAGATTCAAAAGTATCTTTCAACCGTCTATAGAGAAGCATTAATGTGGTCTGTTATGGAACTCCCATTATTGTTTTTGAATATTTTTGGAAGCACTGTTCTAGAAAATTAGAGTTTTTGACACTATTATCTTGCTTGTAGGTGAAAAATTTGTGTCCATTGAAAGGTAAAAAGATTGCATTATAGTTTTACCTTAGTGTTAAATAAGGTTGTAATCAGATCGGATTCGGATTGAATTCAACAAAATTCAAATCCGATCTGATTATTGAAAACATTCATCCAAATACGATTCGAAATCCAATTGGATTTGAAGACTAAGGATTCAAATTCAAATCATAATGACTTGGGTTGGATTTAGATTTAATCTGACTCCACTTTAAATTTTTAAAGTATAAAAATAAATTAAGAAGTTAATTAATTTTCAACCTTTATAAATAATAATTTAATGTAAATATAACAAACTAAATTTATTATATATGTAAATTCATATCTAATAAAAATATAAAAATATATTTTTTATAATTTTAAATATAAATATATAAAATTTATATATTAAAATCAATAAATATTACAAATATAATCGGATTTGAATTTTAATCGGATCAAATGGAGTCAAATCCATAAACACATCATCCAAATCTAAGATAATCAGATTAAATGTCAAATTGGGTTGTGGATTTTTGGGTATCATCAACAAGCATAGCATCCAATGTATTTTGAAAACCAAGATATGGGCTTTAATTTTTCTTTGGAAATAATAAAATTCCCTATCCTTTACAAGCAAAAAGAAATTGGTTGGTCGCTTATTTTTACTCTCCATAATGAAATTGAGAACTTGATTTTCTATATGAATATCTTAGATTTGTCTCGCTATGGTGCAAAAACGAATATTGGCAACACGTTAAAACTCAATATTAACCAACCACATTAACAACATTATATCTCAAAATATCTTTTAATTTGTTCATGTTTTATAAGGTGTACCTATCGGGCTCGGATCTGCTGTCACTACTTGTTCCCACATCTCCACCCATGGGACATAACAATTGCACATTTGGAATATCTCCCTTTTCATTCATAGGGAGATGTTCCCATTACACGATAGCGGTGTTCGGTGGGTATAGATGTGGGAACAAGTAGTGGATAGAAGATCCGGAGGTGTACTTATCAATCACATTAAAAATTTTAAAAACACTAAAGATCCCAACTATGACATTTCACTTTATAATTGGTTCACCTTTTCGCTTCATGCTGCAATTTCTACATTGTAGATTTTACCTATATCTTAAAGCACCCATTGAGGTTTTCAATATAGTACCTCTAACTTGTGGACAAGGATTAAAGTTAGTGGAAGTAGAACTTTCTAACAAGTTGTAAGCAACACCAAATGTGTTTATAATAGTATGAGAGAATATGTAGGGGACAACAATCAAATAATTGAAAAAGAAGATCGGAAAGTAGGAGAATGGATAAGCTTTTCTGTGCTCCAGTGACCCCTTTGAGTAATTATTATAAATGAAACCATGATACCTTTGGTTTACTAAGATCATAAGCTCATATTTTTAGTTGCATGTTGGTCCTTACTTGGCCTTTACCTTTCTCTAAATATCCTTGTATTAAACCATTAACTTTACAAAATCTAATTCTAAGCACACAATCCATATGCCAGTACTTGCATTGGTGTGATGAAGTGGTTCTAATCTATTAAATTTATATTGCTTAAGTATGAGATATATGTTCATTTGGTAATGAAGTTCTTGAAGGGTATATATTACTAGTGTTGAGAATAGCCTGTATTTCATGAGCCAGCTCTTTGCTCAACCTGTCAGCATGATTGTCTTGTCCACCTGCAAAGGTATACACCCGAAAAGCCAACTGAAAAACTCTCCAAAGCATATTAATAGATGCACTAGATTGGTTGCCATTCTTTGATATGGTCTCTCTATTAGTTGTTGTGTTTGCTTCTCTTCTCTCCTAAAACAATAGATAGATGCTCAAAAAAGAGTAAAGAATTGTTCTTAGTAAAATCAATTAATCATGCAATATCTGTTCAAGGGACCTACTTGAAGTGCAAACTCCATGCAGCTAGAAGAAACATCCACCATCAGTTCCTTGATTCGGACTATAATATTGAAGTCAAAGTGGATATTGTGATCTTGAAATCGCTTAGATTCTTCATCTTTCTCTCTTTCCAATGCATCCACCTCTCCCTTAATCTGTATTTTTACATCTTTAGTTATTGATGACAATTCTGCAATGGGGGAAGATAATCATACATATGAGTGTTTTTCGCTCATTGATGATGAGAATTTACCTTGTTGAAGTAACACTCAACCTTGTCAAGATATTGACTCAAAGGAGCCACTACCTTCCAGTTTTCTAGATTCACAACAATTGCATTCAACCTTGAATATAGTGTTGCTGCTATCCTTAGCGTCTCCAATTTCTTTATAGGGAAATCTTTAAATCTTGATAATACCTATATTTAAAGAATTGAGTAATTTGAGACAAAAGTTAAAGTGACCAAAGAACAAAAGTTGATGATGGTGAAATGTATCAAAACAACAAGCTAGTGTTGAAGTGACCTGAGTTTCATCAGTTAGGTCATCAAGATGAAGCTCCACGTATTGGTGGAATTTAAGCAGCTCAACCATATTCTTTGTTTGGAATGAAGTGATTGCAGATTTCATTTCAATGATTGATGTTGCATACTTCTGTACATCTTCAATTTGTTGGAAGTATGTTGACCTAAGATAATAAGGAATTTAAATGAGAAAAGGGAATGAAAAAATATCTTAGAAATTTAACTCAATTCTTTAATATCTCTATTCACTCATTGCAATTTATAATAATTAGTTGCTTATGATTTCATACCTTCTCGTCATCTCTGCTATTGCATCAGCCATTCCCTGTTTACCACCTATAGAACCCTCAATCTGATTCTTTCTCCCTTGAGATGGCTTTCCACCCAAATAAGATCCTTCCATCTTTCCTTTGAGTAGTCGATACAAATTCCCCATGTGCATTGACCTCTTTAACTTGGTATTTGCTTTCTTAAGTTGTAGAGATTTTGTTATATTAAGTGGAGGAGGTGGTGGGGGAGTTACTCCCACTATTAGAGACATGGATGATGATTGTGGCATCAACATTGATTCTTTTGATGGAGGGATTGGTGGTGGTTGTGGTGGAGTTACTTTTATATCTAAAGGAGTTATGGGTGGTGCAAACTGGGCTAGGTTTAGGGCTGTTGATGTTAATGCTAGTGGTGGTTGTGGTAATACATTTTCAAAAGGTGTGGGCAGTGTTGATGGTTGTGTTAATACATTAGGTTTCAAAGTAGGTTGGAGTGGTGGTACATACATGGGAGGAGCACTCATTTCATAAGGTGCATCACTTTTGTTGCTTGTTGTTTGACTTGAATAAGGAATTAAGACCTTTGACATTTCATTTGTGTGTTTACCATCTCCAGTTTCCTTATTGACTCTTGGTATTGGTAATGCTTCAGAATTTGTCTTTGATTCGCAACTCTTCAACTCTAGTTTATTAGATTTCTTGCTCGTTTGAATCACATGCATTGGAGGGGTACTCATTTTTTAAGCGCGCTTCTTTGTACTACTCTAGCCCTATTGCTTGTGTCACTTGAACAAGACATTTGGACCTTTAGTATTTTGTTTTTGTCTTTCTCATATTCGTGTTCTCTCTCGGCCCTTACTAGTGGTAGTATTTCAGAGTTTGTATTTGATCAGCTCGATTCTTCAGATTTTTTGATTGTTTGGATCGTAGGATTAGAATATTAGGTTAGTATATTTGTGACGGTGAGCCTAAGAGGCCAAAGAAATGGTGGTGAATAAAGAAAAATCAGAAAATTCCCTTATTTTTATAAGGAATGAAATTGTAGTAGTTGGATAAAGATAAGGATTTTTATTATTTGTATAAGATTTATTCAAGATATCTCCAAAAGTCGAGTCCTCTATAATGTTATCATTCTTCTCTTCTTCTTCATCTATGAAATTGCGCATTTCATTTGCCACCTTAATCATATTATCAAGCTTCCTTAACACTCTTTCACCTTCAACACAATGATAAATCAATAAATAGTTACTATTGGTCTGATGAAGTATTGAGATTTCTAGCTAGTGTACCAAAGAGAAAAAAAATAATAGTGTACCTAATTTATCTGAGTTGATGTTTATGTCATTGTCTTTCTGACATTTGAGTTTGGTCAACCACTCATGCTTCTTAGCCCATGAATCACCAATAGATTTAAGAGCATTATAGAGGAACACCAAACTCTATACAAACAACATTTATTTTATTAGCTTTTAGTTATGAAGAATACATTTATTAAATTATTTTCAATAGACTTTTATGTAACAAATGGTAAACCTGATTTATAGACATTTCATAAGGTTTTCCCATTGGAGTATTGGGTACGACTTTAGGATAAAGCTTGTGGAGGTCATATAAAATTCCCATCATCAACTACAAGAAGATACAAAGTAAATAAACAAAATGGAAATAAACTCCATAGAACTTTTATAGTGCAAATTCTTGTCAAATTTTGAGAAATGGTAAGAGTACCTCATTGATCTGATTGTATTCATTGCAAAGAGGAAGATCAATAATATCTCTAAAGGTCAAGATCTTCTTTTGAAGTTCAACCATTAACTGAAAGCTTCTTGTCCATCCACAAACTCTCTTTCATCAAATTCACCATTTCCCTTTGACTCTTGGATACATTAATGCCCTTGAATGCCTGCATTAGTAATTTTTTTGGATACATTAATACATTACAAATTACTTGTAAGACATGTTGGTTATTAATAGAGGTATAATTGTCCAATAAAGAAATGATACTATATATCAATTGAATCATTTCCATGAGTAAGAGTATATAGAAATGAGTTGAAATCCTTAAGCATGCATCCTTGCGAATTTATTATTAACAACAAAACATTTATATCTTAAATAATAAATCCATGCTTTCAAATGCAATGATAACCACAATGAAATTATTGTGTTCCAATCTTTTTTGTACCACTTCACGTATAATTGGGTTTTGTTTCTCTGAAGGTACAATTTTATAATGAATAATAATAATGATCTTATATAAGAGTTAAAAATGTGGTTCAAAATTTCTAAGTAGTTGCTCAGATAAAATATTTTGAACTTAATTACCTTCAATTCAAACATAAAATGAGAAAGAAAAAAAAAATCATATGAAAGTGACCCTACCTCGAAAGCGCCCAACTTACGGTGAAATAAAAGTGATTTTGAGTTTTGCACTCTCAATGCCATTTGTATTTGCTGAAATTATATTTCTAAAGAGATTGTTGGGGGACTAGTATTGCTTTTATAATTGTTTTCTAAATGCCATGCCAGTTTGTTTAACTCTGAAGTTGATGAAAGTGGTTGAAAGAAAGAAATTGTTTAAAGAGAAGGGGTATCGAGCAAAGCAAATGAACGCTCAGAATTAAAACAATATTTGCAAAAAGAAATGAATATGTTCTGCATTGTGTTGGGTTTTATTGCTTGAAATTGAAGAAGGATTTTAAGGTGAGAATTGATTACAAGATAAGAACGCGTCAATAGCTTTATTTAGGAGGTCTCTCTCCACATAATCCTACCTATTACCAAGATCTTATTTGGTGAACTTAGCTTAAACGGTTTTGTTTTGTTCTTTATGTGGTCATAGCAACTAATAGATCCCTAATTATCGCCCTTCAAAGGAGAAAAATATGTAGTTATGCTAAATATGTAATTCTAACATATGATATTCCATTTTTTATTAATATTGTAGGTCGTATTGTCCCATAGGCAATGAAAAGAATTAAAGATATAATCTATTTACTATTATTAAGGACTAATTGTATTTTTAATTAATATAATTAACAACATGATAATCATATATGCCTATCGAAATTGAATTTGTTTATTTAGTATCAATTTCCTAAATAGGGAGTGTTGGGGGAAAATATCAAATTGATGCTTCCCTCTACTATACATTTGAAGAAACAATCTAAATGGCTTGGCACTTAGTTAGCATCCTACGTGACAATGTAGATATATATATATATATATATATATATATATATATATATTCTAGTGCATTTGCAAGAGGATGGACTTGTTTATTGCCACGATATTATCAAAGATTAACTGGGCCATTCACCGAGAGACGACTATGGCCATTTCCTCCTTGAAAGAATCACGGTTTCTTATTAGAACACTAGTGAAAATTGGACTATGGTACAAGAATGCAATCATGGAAACATGTAAACAAAAAGGGACGATGGTCCCCACCCTATCAAATTAACCTAGGCATTTAAAAAAACTTCTTTAAGAAGATTCTAGAGTCTTTCATTCCATGCATGTATAAGCCATTCTCTCCTATAAATAGAGGTCTTTCTGATAGGAGAGGGGATCATTCCTTCTCCTTAAGTTTCCCTAATCGAACCCTAGCCTCTCTTCATTATCATTTTCATTTCCTTCTCAACTTTAGAGCCAAAACAACCTTTACTACTGCCTTACATTAAGAATCTATTATTTCTATCTTGAAAAGAAGATGCCGCAAAGAAAAGATATGGTTAGGAAAGAGATTTAACACAACCTTTACTAGAAGAGAAATCTCATTATAGTCACCTATATAATCACCTCCTGAGCAGGTAGAAGATGAGATGTTTCACAACCATTTAGTCAATCTTGCTAGTAAAGGCTATGGGATGGAAGGACTCCATGAAAAGTTGGAAGATTTGTAGCACCAGAAGTTTGCCAAGATCAAGGAAAAGCAAGACCAACTCTTTGGCTGGTTAAAAGAAAGTTTTCATTGTTGCCCAAAATAGCAACTATAGGAAAACCCTCTTCCATAACAAAAGCATCTATCCACTAGTAGTTTGATTCAGAGATGAATGTCACACCACATCTTTAGTGAGAGTGAAAATAACAGTTGCCGACTGAGCTGGCTTAGTGATAGCTGCAATTTCCACCCCGACATCCCATGTTCCACATGTAGGAATCTTAGATCCATTTCTCATGGTGGGAGGAAAGTAATGCAAAAAGATGCAGCAGCTATCTAAAGAAGAGACAGTAGGTTATCTGTAGTTTATTATTGGAGGTTTCAGCACTAAATCATATTAGGCCTTGTACAAGGAACCTTATCCTCTAGGCTATTTTCCACTTTCTACTTGGAAACAATACAATGGAACAACTAGGAATGCTCGAAAGCATGTAAGAAAGTTTGTGGACATACTTGGACCATATGCCATTAACGGAGCTCTAAAGGTAAAGGAGTCTTCCAATATCTGATCGGTTTATCTTACACTTGGTTTGTCAACTTTGTGCCGAAAAACTTCCAAAACTAGGACAAGTTGGTAGAAAGGTTCTTAGAAAAGTGATTTGTCATGGAGGCAACTAACTATTGTAAATTTGAGAAACATGAGACCAGGACGAAGGTGACACTTTATGAAAGACTATTCCATGAGACAAGTTGGTAGAAAGGTTCACTTCCTCGAGGTTTCTGTATTTTACCCTAAAAGATAAAAGAAAAGGTGACAATTTCTGAAAGACTATTCCATGACAAACTTTAATATTGTCTACAAAACACTAATCCCTTTTTCTTCCTTTAGCAGAGAATGAAGGAAAGAAAAATCAGAACTCCAAATAGAGATTGCTACAAATCTATCACTCCATAAGTGCCTATCTCCATAAATGAAAACACTGCTACAGAAAACTCTCAAGGGATTTGTGAAGCATATGGAATCTTGACCGGCCAATGAGTATTGAAAAAATGGGCGGTCAAAGTATTTATTTTAATTCTTTCTTTTAAATTTTTAGTTTAAAAAAAATGAGATATTAAGAAAAATGCAAACGGTCCCATTAAATGACTCGCACATGTGACCTAGGATACCACGTGAAGTGTGAGGTGTTTCAATGTAATTGGGAGTACACCCCAGCACACACATAAACAAGTGCAGGAAATCCGACTTTAAAGATAGAGTGCTTTCCACCACTACACTCACTGGTCACTTTCTCTACGTTCTCTACATCAACAACACTTCTATAGTCAGTTGCAGACTCTGCTAGTGTTGGGACCACTTTCTTCAACATCATGTTTTGATCATCATTCTCTATAGACGAAGGCACCCCATCCCCACCCTTCAATATGGGGTTCTTCATCTATAATCATGTGGTCTGACTTGTAATCACTGACCGTGACAATGTTATTCCATTGAATTATCGAAGAAGAGTGGGACAACAACAACGCATCTCGAAGGTAGCACTTTCCCTCCCAACTCGATCGAACCAGTGCCAAAAATATACAATTTACAGCTACCCGTGAAAGATCCAAAATTAAATAATCCATGCATATTGATATTTTTCATATCCCACAAATCCAACTTCGCCCTAACAATTATATGATTGATAGTGTTTGAATTCTATTCTAATCTCAATTCTTGTTATAAATGGCCACTCTGTTTTTTTTTTTTTTTTCAGGTTGATATTATACACTATTATTTCTTTTTGGTATGAACATGTTTTCAAAACAGGGAAGTATGAATTTTATTTGAAATGTACCTATTTTGAATTTTATCAAGAGTTTGTTTGCAAATTTCATTTAAGTAGGATTCGGTTGTAGGTGAATATTCATACATATTGAACTATCTTCTTCTGCCCTATTTCATCGTATTCATTTAATTATTTTTTAAGTTGGGTTTCTCTTCCAGACCGGTATCATTATAATTTACATGGGTTTCTCTTCCTGCCTATGATCCCTTCTCATACGATCATTCAACTGATTTTCCTAGTGTTTACATTTTTTTTTTAATTCGTTCAGGGACCCAACAGCTCCCTTTGGCATTTCAAGTTGTTAAAATCAACACTCATCGTTGGCCTACGTACAGTTGGGTAAAGAATGCATAATACATTTTTTCACTTCAACCCTACAGTGGCTATTCTCAGTTAACACTTCATTATTCTCTATCGTCTTGGTGTTGGACTAATTCTAAATTTTTACAGCATCCAGCTTTCATTTTTTTTACACCTTTGATGTCCATAACTTACCATGAGTATCATAAAAAAACAAAAACAAGAAAAATGGAAGCTATTGTCTGTTGATTTGAAAAATAGGATGAAGAAAGAATACGCTTTTTTCCTTTCAAAAATCCAATCTTTCTTATAAATAAATGCTTCTTCTGGTTTCCTAAAGCAAAAGGGGCAGCATTAGGTTTAAGAAAATATTTAGCGGCATGTGAGGTTACAAACAAACGGATCTTAACGGATTCCTGGGCCAGGGGAGTATCTTGTCCAATAATGTCATCCAACAGGGGAGCTATTAGTCCATTTTAAAACAAGGGAATACGCTATTAGTCTTTTACCCTCATTTTAAAACAACACAGATACGTGGCTATAAATCTATAATGGTGCATAATATGATCTATATAGGTTGTGTTTGGTTGTAACATAAATAAATTTGTATTGATGCAAAGTTATARCAGTGTAAATAATTTGGGTGCAAATTCTGATTTATTTTCGTTTCAAATACAATAAAATAAGATATGAAGTAGAATAAACTAAAACCCAGAACAATATCAAACCAAAATTTGCATTATTTTCATTTACACTTTCATACATTTATCCTAGTGCAAATAATTTTGTGTTGCAACCAAACGCAGCCATAGCAACGTAAATAAATGCCACTAATTTATGTGTGTATCCATTTCACGTAGTTTGTTTAGTGGCCTATGAAACAAAATAAAAAGCTAATCCATTGATTAAATGGGGACATGTAGTAAGAAATGTCCTTTATTCATATACAACTGATAAGGCAATTGGTAGGGTATATATCTAATTATGCCCACCACCAGAACCATATCCAGATCCATAACCAGAACCTTCACCATATCCAGAGCCTTGCYCTTGTCCTGAACCAGACCCAGAACCATATCCCTGACCACTGCCTTGACCCGAGCCATGACCAGAGCCTGAACCTGCGCCAGAACCAGCATACGACCCAGCACCAGAGCCAGCATAAGACCCTGCACCACCACCACCAGAACCAGACCCAGATGCTGAACCAGAACCAGACCCAGATGCGGAGCCACTACCACCACCTAGACCAAGCCCAAGGCCAAGTCCCAGGCCAATTCCAAGACCCAAGTCTTTTCTTTCTGGACGGCTTTCACAAGAAAAGGCTAGTGAAAGCACAAGAAGGCACAGAGACAAGGCTTTGAAGGACATCCTTTGCTCTATTCTTCTCTCTTCAATTCTGAGCTATATGGACATTGATTCAATCAATCAATGTATATGAGTGTGTTATATATATATATATATAGTTGAGCACTGTCCCCATTTCATCTAATGTCTTGGCAGCAGTGTGAAATCCAATTCAATTGGGTTGCAGGCTTGCAGAAGGGACAAAGCTTTGTTTGTTTTGCTTGAATTTGAAAGAATGGCAACTTAGGTTTGTGGCTGTGGATGTGCATTTGTGCACAAAAAAGTAGAGTGAGTGGAACTGCCACAATCCTTGCATATATATGGCTTTTAATAATTTCTATCAATGAAAATGAAATGATGCCTGCCACCTCCGCCAGCACTACCAAAACGACCTAACATACGCATGCCCAACCCCAGGGCTGTGGTCAGTTAATTTCTTGGCCACTCTCATGACTCTGTTAAATTTGGAAAATATGTTTGTTTGATGATCACTTCAAATCCGGATTCAACTGCCATGTCAGCAAAAATAAAATAGTTTTTTATTTTTGTGAACACCCGTTAATATTGGTTTTGTGAATGTATTGGAGTCAAGTATATAAGACATATAGAAAACAATAAATTAATACATTATTTATAACATGAATTATTGGATATTAATATAAAAGAGTAAATTATAGACTGCCACTATGTACAAAAAGGCTCAGTTTCGAGGGAGTACAAATACAAATATATAGAGTGTAAAGCCTTATATTTTATATTATTTTGTATATATTTGTATTTATTCTAAACTGAGCCTAAGGCTGTATTTGGAAATAATGCAAAGGGAGTGTAAATTTGTACTCTGTTTCATTTTTACTTGTGTTTGACAACATTATATTTATGCATTGATAAATGACAGACCAATTCATATTTACATTGATAATAAGATGTAAAAGTACATCAATAAAAACGAAGTAAATTTGCACTCAAGTAGGCTTTTGATAAAAAAAAGCATATGCTTTATTGGAATTCATATTTGCATCCATTACAGCTAAAAGCCTGTTTGGTAAGAAGGTAAATTTGTCCGTGCAAAACTAACCCAACTTTTTAATTTATATGAACCATTTTATACTTTACAAATTTGCATTTAACACTTATTTGCATCATTTCCAAACACAGCCTAAGGGGTAATGGCACTTAGCCCTTTTGTGACAAAGACCCCCCCCCCCCCAAACTTATGAATTTCAGCACCATTCCCCTAAAGTTGTCATTCTATCACTCAATTTCATTGAATATTCCATTAAACATTTTTAAAACACCAAATTAACACTTATTTCATGAGACATTTTGCCCTTTTGACTCATCTTGAGAATGCTTTAACAATGATTTGTACTTTAAAATGGTTAGTTTCATCATTTTAATATTTGTAGTTGTGAATCCAATCTTGAATATATAGGCAATTTAATATTGATTTTACTTTTATTGTCAATCCCATCTTTGTTGCAAAACAAAGTTTTGGGGGGCTTAGTTACCGTAGAGGGTGGCTAACTGCAATAACCTATGTCAGCTTATAGATGATACATTACAGTTATGACTTATCCAATTGAAGCCCCACAAATCTCAGTCAACTGAATCTTAATACGTATGCTACAAAAGATTTTTACAAATTAATGAAAATATTAACCCATTAATATTTTATATTGTATTAATTAGTAATTATCATTTGAAAAAAATTATACAAATTTAATAATAAAATGTATTGGATGGAGATGGACAAGAATGATTGATCGGTAAGTGTATGGACACAAACGCTAGGGGTGGCAAATGAGTGGATTGGGTTGGGTTGAGTGAGGATTGATATGAATTCAACCCACCCTTATTGACCTGTTGACACATTTGCCACCCATATTTAATCGGTGTTATGACCGTGACCCACTCTAATCCACTCATATGACCCGCTAACCTAATAAATATTAAGAAAATACAAATATTTTAGTCAAATAAAAATTCAGATATTAAGAAATTACTGAAAAACACCAATATTAATAGAAAACACAAAAATTGCAAAAAAATAATAATAACACAAAAAAATTGATATAAATTTGCAGGGAAAAAACCAAATTTATAAAAAAATCAAGGAAAATAATTATGGGTTTTAAAAAGTAGAAACTGCATAAAATATGTAAGTTGACAAATTTTCAAAATAACTATATATTTCAACCTAGAAATTATAGAAAAACAAAAAAATAAAATTCGAAAATATTCTTCAAATAAGAAAACAAAAATGTACAAAACATAGAAAAATATAAAGGAAAATTACAAAAAATAAAAATTAACATAAATATAAGAACATGCATAAATTGCAGAAAAATATAAAATTTACAAAAAATAGAAATTATAAAATCAACAAAATTTATAGACAAAACACAAATTTTGGCTGTCGAACCCAATCGCTGCAAATGGTAGAAAAAAAAAAAAAAAGGGAAAGACCGTACAACCAGAGATCTACTCTCTCCTGCTGAGTGCTGATGGTGAATAATAAAAACATGTTATGAAAGTTGGTCACCAGTGGAGCTATTCAAACCTTAGTACGTCAGTCACCAACCGCTGCGGTGTCTCCCTACTCTCTCCTTCCGTTGGTGGTGCAGAAGAAAAACACGTTAGGGATGTTGCCAGTGGAGCTATTCAAACCTCAGTCTGACAATTGAGAACTTAGATTCAATTTCTGTATTTGTATGATTTTATTCATAGGAAGATGTTCTCTATGCACAAATTTAAGTGGCTGAATAACCACTCGGGATTTTCTACTCACTTTTCCTACCCACTCTCTATCCGCGCTATAAATTGGAGCCATTCATCTCTTTTATGAATTGAGAGATGTATGACTCCAATTCACTGCGGGTAGAAAGTGGGTAGGAAAAGTGAGTAGAAAATCTGGTCTCTATGATCATGGTCTTATAAGGACCAAATYGGATCTCATTAATTGCCAGCTGCTGCTGCATCTCCCTATTCTTTCATTCCATCCTTTGATCTATCCCCTATGTTATTGGAATCTCAATGTTATGACAGAATGGGTACCCTTGACCCAACCCACCCCAATCCTTTTCACTTGATCCTTGACCCACCTGCAAAAGAGACGAGTGGATATGGGTGGGCTTCAATGAAAGTGGGTTGGGTGGATCAAATGGACCAGTAGTTCTGTTCCTTTTTGTCTGTATCGGATCGATATGGACCTGTATCAAGTCATTTCGGGTCTGTATCAGACCGATGAACCGATATTTTGAATGTATCGGCCAATACATATTGTAATATTAGATTATCTCTCTCTCATAAATAAGCCTATTAAATAATTCTGTCTCTCTAATAACTCCTACATTTAAGGAAACTTGCCTAAATAACTCTTAATACCCTATGATTATTACCTCTCTCTTAATAAATCTTTTTTTCTCTTAATTAATAATTAATAACTACATTTATGATAATATTCAAATTCAAATTTTAATTTGACCCGCCATTAAAGCAATAAATTCGAAATTGACTTGTCATTAAACCAACATATTTAAAACTACAAATAAGAAAAACAAGGAGAATTGAACCCTGGTAATTTGATTGTAATAAACATAAACAAACCACTACATATTCAATTGTTGATTATAATTGTATGTATTATTATTCTTAAGCAAATATTTTTCTTCTTAATGGATGTTCATTAATTAATATTAAAAATGATTATTAAAATTTATATACTAATAAACATTAATATAAATTATATTGATTTTCTGAAAATTAGTTCACATTTTACTCCTTCCATTATCTTCAACGATTACCAATTTGTCCCTATATCTCACACTATTGAAGTATGAGTTTGTATGTTTAAATAACTTGTTTTCTTTATAAGTGTTTAAATAACTTATTTAAGGTCATATAAAATTTATATTTATTATTATTAATGTATTTTTTAAGATTTATACAAGTTTCACATGCGTATCCCGAAACATCTCTTAATCTTTTCAATACACCTTACGTTTCTATACTTTACCTTGCTAAAACCAATAGCTCTACTTAATACATAAAAAAAATAAAAATCAATTTTTTTATATAAGATCAACTGATCCATGCATTTCAAACACTTGAACATATAAATATACAAATCTTGGGTTTAAATAAAACAAACACATGGAATCAAAACAACCACAATGCAATTATTGTTTAAATTAACATGGTCAAACGCTTCAAACCATTAACCAGCACAATAAAATAATTGTCATAATTGATCTGGACAATCAATCTAATTCCTCCGGCTCTCAATAGAGGGCAGTTTATGCCTTTGACAACAATGCCTGTCCTTCAAAACATACCCTTGGAGTAATATTGCAGGGAAGTGATGACGCCAAGTTGAGAAGCAATTCTAATCGAACTGCAGCGTCAGATAATGACTAAATCTCAACCAGGAAATGCATCTTAAAATAACCTCTAAAGAAGACATCTTGAAATACAATCAGAAAATTTAAATGCTGCCATAACATGGTGATCAAGAACATCATTTTAAGTGGTAAGAATATCTAATAGTTTCCATCCATATTTCCAACTTCCCCTTCATCTGCAACCAAAGACGATCACTAAGCATCACCAATTTTATGGTTCACAAAGTTATTTTGAGAACTGGGAGGCTGGGACTACTACTTGTATACATATCAAGATTGTATAAATGCACAAGCACAACCCACACACCTTATCGTACAATCTGCACTAAATATCAAGTCCTTCCCCTGTTTTATGCTTGTATGATTGATCACAGGAAGCAATAGGAGTTGACCCTACAGAATGAATAGGGCCAAAAGTTCATAAAAGTGAAAATTTATGATCACGCCTGCTCTAGGTACTTGGATTCTGGCTATCATTGGATAGCATTGATTGGTAGCAAAAACTATTCAAACACCATGATGTCACGATTCCACCTACTGTGCATGATCTCACCTTATGTTTCATTTATGAGGTGTCTGATGAAAGTGTGAATGTGTGAGAGGATAATGAACAGAAGTTGGAAAATGGTCTAAGCTGCCTTTCAATTGTGGTAGGGCCTGAATGCGACAAATAGCTAGGGCTCCCACCAATGTTAGAAGTGCTTGTGCTTTCACATGATGAATCTGAGATTGTGTGAAGACTGCTTAAACAGGAGGATTCAACATCATTAGCCTCCTCTGCCGTTGGATCTTCATCGGAGATGAACCCCTCTGATGAGCATTGACTTACATTTAGAGGATAGGCAGAGATTGATCCCTGGGAATCATCCTCAGTCATGGAACAACGGTTTACCAGACAGCAATTTTCTGACTCTGTATCATCAAATTCTGCCTCCTTGTCAGAGTTAACAGGTGAGTCTGCACCACAGCATGTGGTCCCAAGCATACAGCTCTGGTTTCCTACTACAGCATTTTGATTTTCCCCTTGGTTGACCTCGCTATTATCTCGAATTGATTGAGGGCCTTCTGAATGAAAAGTGTTATCTTCTGCCAGACTTGCAATGGCAACTGCAACTGCACTGGTTACTGAATCCGAAGTAGGTACTCCTGTTTGGCCAACTACTGCCAAAGATGACTCACTTTGGTTTGAGATATAGAATTCACCAACTGTGCCAATTGATCCTGAAGATTGATTAGCTGTACCACCAAGTAGTCTACTATCCTGAGAAAGAAGCAAGGATAAAATACAATTCAAATCAACATATGAGAAACTACAAGGGACCCATGCAATGCACAGACTGGTATTAAAGACATCCCCATATTCTGCAGTAATATTTATTCTGTGTATCATATGTGAGAGAATTTTACAGTCAAGGATCAAAAAATTGAGAGAATTTTATTAATCTTAAAGATTTTTTTTTGTTTTATTTATAAATTAACAAAAGCATCAATTGTTTCTAAATGGTTTCCTTGAGCTTTTGCATTCAGTCATATTTTTATAATTTCTATTGTAAGAAATTGATTAAATTTTGAGGGTCCTTCAAGCCAGGATGAAAGATTGGGCTGACATGAAAAAAAAAATCAAATATACCTAGCTCCAAAATTGACATTTTAATAATTGGATTTGATCGTATTCATCGGCATTAGATTGAACTGGATTGGATATGAAAATTGAATACCATAAACAATTTAAACTAAACACAATCAGAATATATTATTAACAAAATAAACTAAAGACTTGATATTTATACATCAGAAATAGGCTTGAAAATAACTTTTATGAGAATTTTATGTACCTTTATCAACATTTGAGTCTATGGATCTGTAGGGCCACATAAGGCTATTATTAATCACACCACATTTGTTATTATTCTAAATAAGACACACGAAAGCAAACCCATATACACTCCATCCCATTTTGGATTCAGTAATTTTATCAATTTAAGCCCACTAAATATGGATACCACACAGGTCAGATTTCATGTCAATTACTCTACTCAATGCCTTAGTTAAAACACCTTATATTTGGCAATTAATGGACTAGTTGGTCAACAGAAGATTGAGGAGATATTTGTTAATTTACGTACTCCACTCACTATTATGTAATTATGTACATAGCAGTGATATAGTTGATTCATGCCCTTACTGCTCGAGGAGCTGTATACAGCATACTTTTGGGCCTTGGCCCTTAATAGACTTCAATTACCTCCAAAAGAAAAAAAAAAAAAAAGGTAGTGTGAAGTAGGAATATAAAAATTGACAACATTTTAATGAGCACTCCATATTTTACTTTCCAAGGTAAATGGGATACTTAATGCTAAGTTGTATTTATGTCATTGTTCTTTTATCAGAAAACCAAAAATCTGACAATTTTGAGAGGGTCTTGAGGCACAATAATGAAGGGAGAGAAATTACTGACCTGGACCCAAAAAAGTCATAAGCCCAAGCCTGGGCCAAGCTGGGTTCCGGGCCTATGACTTTAATATAAAATATAGTGGCATAATATATATTTTAAATTCATATATACATTATATAATAAAATTTATAACATACATTAAAACTATGCCCACCTGAATAGATTGCCATATAGCTTCCATCATCATTATTTCTTCAAGATCTATATCAAATTCATCATACCTGCATAATAGAAATCCCCCGTATTAGCTACTAACCGAAGCAAGTATGTGCTCCTTTACCTTTAACAAAATGAAACAAATATATCTGAAAGAAAAAGAAAAAAGAAAAAACGTGTTTCCAGTCTCATCAGGGATTTTGTCAGAAATCTGACGTGTAGAATGTACATAAAAAAAAAAAACAAAACTTGTGGTTTTATTATCTATTTTTGTTTTCTAATTTGTTTATACCTCATTCTTATAAATATACATGTTCTAGAAAGAAATCAGATCTGAGAAATCACCAAACGAAGATGATAGATCTAGCTGCAGTGTTTTAAAAGCACAAGGCGCAGGGGTCAATTTGCACTTGAGAAACAAGGCGCAAGGCAAGGCGCATGCCTTTTTAAGCAAGGCGCAAAAAATTAAAAAAAAATGCTAAAAATAAAAAAAATGTCAAAAATTCAAAAAATATCCAAAATGCAAAAAAAAATCAAAAAATTATTAAAAATAATATTAATAAAATTATAAACTTAAATTTTAAAATAAATGTTTTAAAAAACCTATTATCTAAAATTAAAATACATAAACATAACATGTAAAGCATATCCAAATGAGAATTTAAAAATAAAATCAAACATATAAAACATTTTCAAGCATATAAAACCCACAATCTCTTTTTTTCTCAATTACATTACTTCAAGTAGCTAATGTGACATACATTCCTGATTCTACAAGTGCTTTTGTGCCATGCCCCTCAGGCAAGCCCAAACAAGTCCACATTAAGGTCTTAAATTCTTAGTTTTCACACAAAAAAAATAATGATTTTATAGTTTTAATTGCTCTTTAAGAAGATACTTTATTAGGATGAATGAATGAACAAGAGCGCGTCAAATTTTCAAAAGGCGCATGCCTGGGCTGAGGCGCAAGGCGCACCAGGCGTGTGCCTTTTGAAAGGGCTGTGCCTTGGACCTAGGCGAGGCGCCTACCCTAAAATGTGCCTTGCCTGTGTGCCTACGGCGCGCCTTTTAAATCACTGTCTAGCTGCAGTTCAATCTATGCTAAAAGGAATTCATAATGCTCTCTTAGTCTTCAGCAATCTGGTTCCAAAATGAGGCCTATTGATAGTCTTAATAATGCTCAACAATTTGTTAGGGTAGGATGCCTAACATTCTTTGGAGGGTTATAGCAAGTATTTATAATCTCAAAAGATTCCTAGGGGATTTGAGATCCTACAAGTATATCTATCTCTTCGGGTTAGGGTTTATCAAAGAGATATGTTTCCTTTTGGAAAAGAAATAGCAATGAAATACTATCTCTTAACTTTTATTATAAAATCTTTATCTCGTTTTCTCTAATCAGTAGTCATGATTAGAAAACTTCCTAGAATTGCAAAGAGGCCCAATAAGACACTTGTAATTACACCCCTACGACCCTACTTAACTCCAGTCACAAGGAAATCAATTTAGAAACATAGTTCTGGTTAGAGTAGACTAAGATGGTTTGTCATGTGTATTCGACCACCAACAGCTCCAGTTAGATGAAGTGGTCTGCTACAAGTGGAAGGGGCTAGAAGAGCTAGGGGTAGACAACCAAAAAGGACACGAGTAGTAGTAAGAAATGATTTAAGCACTAATAATTTAACATTGGATATAGCTTTAAATAGAATGGATTGGCGAAACAGGATTCATGTAGCTGACCACATATAGTTGGGATAAAGCATGGGTGATGATGAGTGCAGTAGGATAACTACCTGATTTAGTGCTGTCAACAGGTTGAATCTGGTTTGGGTCAAAGTAAACCTAGTCCTAAAACGATAAACAATTGTGCAGAACCAGTCCTCAACTAGATCCTATAGGGCCTAAAATAACAGACCTAGAACCAACTCAATTATTAATCATGAGCACCAGGTCTAACCTGATAAGACCCGATTATAATTGACAGCTCTACTTTTAACCTGTAATTTGACAAGAAACCTGCAAATTAGTTAAATTGACACATTAGAACAGCATAACATGATAATTTTATAAGTATACCATGAGAAATACAGGTATTAGATTGAAGGAATCTCTTTTTAATATGCTAATACAAACAAAACTGATCCCAACCCAATTATAATCAGGAGAGATGATGTAGATCAAGGCCCTATATAATTTGGTCAGTTCATTTCAGTTTCATCAGGTCTACCCAACCCATTGACACTTGACAGTCCTAGTCTTAACCAATCACCATCGCATGGGTTTTATGAAAGAATTCTATCACCACTAGACACCTCATAAAACAATTTCAGAATACATTTTGTGAAAATAAATATTTAATAGATAATATAACAAGCTTTAAAATCCTTTTAAAGAAAACACTACAAAGTGTCCACTTGGGTGTAGTAAGAATCCCAGTAAGGTCTGGACACTTCACCCTAGGAAACGTTTCTGAAAGTTCTGGTTCAACTAAGATTCCTCTCATACTGCCCCAGAGTTCTTCTAAGGCAAAATACAAGAATCCTATTGTCCTAGTACAACTATGATTCCTCACCAAGAATCCTAACTCATCTAGGATTTTATCAAGGGACTTACACAGGAGTCCTAGTCAAACCAGCATAGTTGTCAAGGCTTCTGCATATATCTAGGCAATAGTGGAGTTCCTAGTTGCCCAGAATTTCAAAAAGAAAAACTAAATTCTAGGTTAGTTCTATAATTTTACACAGCAATGAGTATGCACTTAAATAGATTTTTTCTGATTGGTCACATAAATGGAAAAAATTAGCAACAGCATTTACTAAAAATATTAATTTTCTTCTCAAAAATAGCAAATCATCATATCTAAAAGACAATAGCATTTTAAACCAATTAATTTTAATATCTCAAACACAACACTAACATAATAATTAGTTAAAACAATTGCATGCCAAAATATATTAGTTACTAAAGAAGGCTATAATTATATACTAATAAAAAATTAAGAGAGTGTAACAAAAGGGAGGAGAAAAAGGTGTAGAGCCCTTTTCTATTTAATGTAAGAGAGAAGACAAGGAAACTATTTTAACCTTCTCTTCTTATTAAAACCCTTGGATCTTTTATGCTTTGATTGTACAACCATTAAAAAAAACATAAATAATATATATATATAATAGAATGTATTTAGAAAGCATTGTAATAGTGTGTAGCCATAGTAAACAAATTATAATAAGACACCCTTGTGATCTTTATTGCCTAGTTAGACACCTTTTTTTATAAAAGCCATGGAATTCAGATTCAAGAACGATGCTTAACCACATATTCCTTTTAACTATGTCAACTAGGATTTCCTAACATAACCTTAGGCCAATTAGGATTGTTGGCAAGTGTCCTAATTCAATCAGAATTTTTGGTAATTACACTTTCCTCTTGTCTAAGGGCATGGGTTATTTATTGAACATTCCCAAAATCCTACAATCACCTTTTATTACCTGAAACATGAAGAATGTTGGTCATATTGTAACCTCATCCTTAATATAATAAAATGAGTAGACATAACCGTAAGACTTTAAAATCTTTTCAAGTCTTAAGGGCTATAATTACTTTTACATCTGAACAATTCATGGGATAGTTAATAAATTAATCAAATACAAATATTAGACTTCATTGCTTTATAATAATAAAATTTGACAGTTATTGATAAAAAAAATATCCTAAATATGCCCACATGTTAGGTGTAGAGTATCACTCAACTCAAGTAGATAGGATATCACCACCACATCCAATGACAAACCATATAAGTTTGTTGCCCATACTCACCCTTAGTTGGCATGTTTCATGTTTATAAGAAACTAGGTCATTAGATGTCCTTGTAATGGATTCCACTTATCACATAGCCCTATAATATTACCTTAAGGACTTCTAGTAAAATTGTCACTAAAACCTAATAAATGCCTCATAATCACAAGTCCAGCATCTTAAATTGACCACTCAACCACATGTTAAGTGTTGCTAATGATATAGGCCAATCCCAACAAGAAGAAGCGACAAGTGAACAGAGGTGTAGAGAGGGGGGTCCTGGGGAAGAGTTGGTCTCCCCCTATGCCTCAAAGCTCCCCACCTATTAATATAATGGACTAATAGTCTTTATGGTTCCCCCCCCCTCATCCATGTTTATTTGATCGTATTAGCTTCCCCCCGCCCCCAAAAAAATAAGGGTAAATTTCTTAAACTACCCTTATGGTTTAGCTAATTGACTAATTGTACCCTTACTGTTTGAAAATTGACTAACGCTACCCCTATTGTTTCTAACAATTGATTAATACTTCCCATATCGCTAACACCCCTTAATATTCATTAACAACAAGACAAAAAGACTATTTTACCCTTTACTCTTCTTCAAATTTTCAAAATAAATCAGGGAAAAGGGGGGAAAGAGAGAGAGTACATGTCCAAATACCGCCTTCTACCTCTCTCTGGTTTTCACAGTATTGAAATCACTCTTTGGTTCCACTAATACTTTTTTCTTCCTAGCTGCAACTACCAGAGACCAACCAAGAGAAGATCTGAAAAAGAAATTTGTCCTATTCCTACATACCAAGGGATCAAAGCATTGGAGGTGACGGAGTCAAGTATGTTACAGCCGAAGGAGTTGAGTACGTCAGATGAAGCCATGATCGACGTCTTACAGAGCTATCGGTAAAACAGAGCTCTGCCGGAGACAGAAAAGGGGAGAGAGAGTACATGTCTTATGTGAGCTAAGCCGAAGGCAGTATCTCACACTTGCAGTGAGATAACCTCGGTAAAACAGAGCTCCAACCTCCTCCTTCCTCCTTCACTTTATTGTGAGATAACCTTGGTAATACAGATCCCACCGTCCCTTCCTCTTCACCTACGTCGTCTTATGTGAGCTAAGGTGAGTGTTTCCACAACCCGCTGAACTTGACGTGACTCCTCGTCCCGAAGTGGTGGGCGGTTAATGGTGGTAGAGGGGTTTTTTGCCGACATTCTCAAAGGGGTTTTCAGGTGCAGGAATCACTCCTCAATTTCTGTTCCAAAAGCTTTCCACCCATCATCAAATTTTGTCTAGTTCGATGACTCTACAAGAAAGCTCTAGATTCAAATGAAACATTAAATCGATGATTCTACAAGTAGATGACGGATTAGAAGATGACTAACTCTAATTTGGTACTTCCCTCTTCGCCACCTCTCGTCTCCCTATTTCTTCGATTCCTCAAATGTGGAAGGCTTTGAAAGGTTAGGGTTTCGCAGATGCCGGTGTCAGTGCTGGAAGTTATCACAAGGGTAAGTTGGATATTTTTGAAAGTTACAACAGTCACATGATGCACATTTGAGTGGTTTATGATGGAACGTTAGCGGTAAGGGAAGTATTAGTCAATTGTCAGAATCAGTAGGGGTAGTGTTAGTCAATTTTCAAACAGTAAGGGTACACTTAGTCAATTACCTAAACCATAAGGATAGTTTAAGAAATTTACCCAAAATTCCAAAAAATAATAATAATAGAAAAATCCTGGCTTTGCCCCTATAAGCGAACATGACCTAATTAATTAGATAGAATAGGAACCGATAGTCCATTCTAGTTTAATGGGGCTAACATTAGAAAGCCATGCCTAAGCTTAAAAGGGGCCATTGCCCAATGTTGGTTTGGGCTATCCAGGATCTTTTTTTTTTTTTTTTGAGCAAAAGGTAAAGTATAATTAGATATGAACCTATGTTGGAAAGAGTGGAACCCATCTGCTTTTTCCTGTGCATCTTTCTTTGGTTTGCTCACTCACATTGATCGTAGGGCATTGAACTTCCCAGTGAGAGAAATCTGATCTAAACCGATCGCTCCAAAAGTACAAGCTTTCTGTTGGGAAGTGTTCCTAGGGAAGGTAAACACTTGTGATGYKCTAYAGAAAAGGAGGCCAAACAATTGCCTCTCTCCTCATGTGTGTGTCCTTTGTTTGGGATGTGGTGAAACCCTAACCCACTTACTTTTATCCTGCTATTTTGCTTCTGGTATTCGGAATGTTGTTTGTTCTCTCTTTGGATGCAGATGGGTTCCCCCACAGGATGTGGCAAGTCTATTCAGCCCCTCTTTCCTTGTCAACAAAAGAAAAGAGGAAAGTGCTTATGGAAGGCAGTAAGAGTAGCTACAGTATGGACTATATGGGAGGAAAGAAACCTAAGAATCTTTTCTGGAAAAAGCAAAACAAAGGAGGAAGTTATTGAAGCCATAAAAATCAGAACTGCACATTGGGTGAAGACCATGGAGATACTCAGAAACTACTCCACGAATGAGATCCTAAGAAATTGGGCTGAAGTAGCACAAACAGATGTACCCAAAGTACTTGTAAGTATGGAATGGAAGCCACCAGCACTGAACAAACTAAAACTGAAGTTTGATGGGAGTTCTCTTGGCAACCCAAGAAGTGCAGGCATAGGGGGTGTGTTTAGAAATCATCTAGGTGTGGTGGTGGCACTCTACTCAGGACCAATAGGTTTTGGTGACTCAATACAGGCTGAATCTCTAGCCCTACTTCCAAGGTCTAAAGATGGCTGAGCAGATAGGAACAACAGACTTAGAAATAGAAGGAGACTCACTATTGGTCATCTCTTGGGCCAAAAACATCACATCAGTACCTTGGAAGCTCAAATTTATCTTCAGAGAAATTGGCATACTTGAAAGGAAGTTCAACTTTCAGTTTGGTTGGGTCAAACGGGATGCAAATGGGATGGCGGATACCCTAGCAAAACAAGGGGCAAATAGATCTTCATTGTACTGGGAAAAATTGTAACTAATTGCTGGAGATTGCAGTTTGTCCCTCTGCAATCTTTATCTATTGTAACTTAATTTCTCTGTTATTAATGAAAGTTTTTTGCTGATAAAAAAAAAAAGATCACTTGAACACTCAAACCAATGTTCACATGCTTGTCAACCTGAGGTTTTACATTTTTACCATGGACCAAGCTGACTGTGGCTTATAAAAAAAGGCGTTGCACAGTAACAATAACAGAAAGAATGACAACAACAATAATAAAACTTTTGCTGAATCTGGAATACCAGAAAATTCTTCTCCAAATATTTGGAGTTCATCATAAATTTGATTTTATGAGAAACAATGGTTAGTAAAATCTAGCATCTGATAAAGGATCTTGTTTCCTCTTTGCATAGGCCACAACTATTTTAATAAAGCAAAAGAATTAAAATTGAAATTCTTGTTCTAGCAGTCATGATCCACTAAAGTAATATCATAAGGCCAACAATTAAAACTTTCAAATTCAGGAAACTCAGAAGACAATACAACACAAGCATGAATTTCCTTCAAGTCTAGTTAGTTAGGAATTAAAATATCATGCCTACACCAGAGCATGTTAGGCTAAAGGGTAAATTTTTCTAACATTTACAATGCTAGAGACATCCATAATTACTTCCTCAAATTACATCCATTTTCTCTGGAGATTGAGTTCAGCTGATCGAACCCCCCCCCCCCCTCTCTCTCTAGTATCAGTCTGTGTTATTCTAATAAAAGTCACTTTCCCTTTTTCAAAAAAAAATATATATTTGTTGTTTAAAATCATCTAATAAAAGTAAGAGAGGGAGAGAGATTACAAAAAAGATCAAGGCTATTAATATTAGGTGATTTTCTCAAGTTAATTGTAACAGAGATTTTGGCATCTCTAAAACACTATTAACCATTTCATATAGAAAATTTCATTTTATGAGGACAAGGTGGTATAAAATAGAAGGAAAAGAATATCACAAACCTTCCACTCCATGCATTTCCAGGAGATCCAACAACTTGGATTCCTCCACCCACAAAAGATAGACCTGTGTTGTTTATGTCCTGCAATCCACCTGCTCATTCCATCAAACAAATATTAGCTAAAATAAGATATGGAGAAAATAACAAGAACTAAATCAATATCAATAAACCTTTAAGAACTACAACTTAAATATATACCAAAACATTGTAAGTCAATATCAGCAGATGCAACATTGCACAATTGCCGGGAGCCTATGGCTGAAGGTTGGACTTCCAAAGAAGAATTTTGGTTGCCCAGGATAAGTCGTTCAGTATTTTGTGATTCACGCAACTGCATTCTTATTTTGGCCTCAATTACTCTCTGTTCTTCCTGAACCACCAAAAATTAATCACATAAGATTTATAGCATCCCAATGCATATACCTCAACCCCTCAAAGTTAGTTATATCTATCTACAGCATGAAAAAAAAAAGAGAGAGAGAAAAACACCAATCAGAGTTAAGGAGCCATACAGCTTGCTCTAGGCCTTTTTCTTCCTGTGTCCTGGCACCTCGGTACTCAACAGCATAGCTTGGAGTTTTACAAAATGGGCACCTTTTATTAGCTAAGGTTACAATTTAAAAGAGCTTAATGAATTATTTGTTTTTTTTTTTTTGATAGAAGAAAGATGTAGCTTCCTAACATTGAAAAGATAAAATGAATAAAAGAAAGACAGTTACAATCATTACTAGATGTTAATGGGCAAATTGGGCATGAGGATGCTACATTGACTCGTTGAGTAGAAATGATTCAATGTGCTCTCAGACTGAAAACTTCAAAGTAGGAGGTGAAAGAAGATGTATTTGTATTTGATAATGCTTTTAAGGAGCCACATGAGATTCCATAATGCACTGTTTTGTAGACTAAAATCCTTATGTCTATGTGCTCAATCAAATTAGTAGATAACTTTGTTTCCGTTTCATGGTTTAATGGGCAGTTTGTATTGAAATTGATGAAAATAGGGTCATGTTCATCCCAGCTCATTTTGCTATTCATTGCTTTTAGTATTGAAATTGATGTAATAATGGTTATATATGAGTAAATTCAGAGTTTCTTATGGTTACTAACTAATTTAAACTCATGGTCCAAGAAAATGGTAATACAATCCATGGAAATTTACTTGGAATCCTTCAATTCCCTAGCTTTTCAGTTCTGCTAGATTATCAGCAACTTTCCAGCTTATTCAGCAATCAGCATAGGAGTATCAGCCCCTATTTTCATAATAGCTAAATCCAATAAGAATCTTTCACCTTTCCTCGGGTGATTGTTTATCACCTTTCCTTGTACCTTCTTTTGTATAATAAAATTTTTACTTTATCTTAAAAAAAAATAAGAATATTTCACGACTATTAGAGAAGAAAAGAAATGGGGAAAAAAAAAGGAAAAATACAGTAATTGAAATACAGAAACAGTTCAATTAAGGAAGAAAGAACCAAGAGAATCAAATAAATGATGTATATGAAAGAACCAGCCCCAATCCACAGAATATCAATTGATAGATAAATAAATATAGTCCAAGCAATCGCGTCTTAAAGAGGATACTGAGCTGAACTCATAGCATTGTAAGGCCTCATCTGCAAAAAACACTCTGCAATGAAACCAATTAAAGAAACAACCCAATTAGAAATAAAATTCATTTGGAGCTCGAAACCTCTAGTTCACAAAAATCCGAAAAAAGAAAGACTAATGTAGCATACCGGTGCAAATACCCTTCATACAACATCTCGACCGATTCAAACTCGGATAATACTGAGGAAACCCAAGAACAAACATCAAAAAACCAAGAAAAAAGAGACTAAAAAGCGTGATATTACAAAGACAGAGAACCGGTATAGGCGAGTTATTACGAAGAAACAAATCGGGCATTCTTCGAGATCAGGATTATTATTAGAATCCTCGACGCCATCAAAGCAAGGTGCTAGCTTCTGGGAGAGAATGAGCTTCCGGAGCTTCTTGTAGTCGACATTGGACGGGTTCCGAACGAGTCGCTGCGGCCTCGTGAACCGCTCCTCCACCGTACTCTTCCTGCAAATCCGATTCCCCATCGTGACTCCTCATCGGTCCCCGTTTCTTGTCATCTCCTTATTCATTTATTAATAGGATTAGGGTTTCTTCTTTCTTCAATCTTCCTTCGTTTATTCTGAGAGAGATTCTTTAGACGTAGTTGCAGAGACGCAAAGTAGCAGAGAGAGAGATAGGAGGGAGGCAAAGCAAAGCAGTCGACGAGAAGGAAAAGTGTCACTGGTCAGCTTTCTTTTTCTTTGTTTTGACGGGAATGTCCTTGACTTGTTACGTAATGTCGTAAATGCCCCTGATGAGTGATGACGTGGACGTGATTTGCATGCCCTTTTCTCATTTTCTGCTTCTTCTTATACTTTTGGTTTCGGCTGATTTGTTTTTACTTTCTATAATACAACTTTGTCCCCCAATTTGTTAATATTTACGGAAAACGCCACAAATGGTCGCAGGCTCGCAGCGGTCGGTGGATTGGATATGGGCCGATTCTAGAGTTTCCAATTCCGAGTCCCCAACGGGGCCCACCGGCTCAGTTAGGTTAAAAGTTCACATGATCTTCCTGATAATGAAGCATCACGATGCGGAACTTGGTACAACTCCAGATTCATTATACAGATGGAAATAACTGTCTAGAACCGCAACTGTATATGTAATATTGGAATGGTCATGATCCACCGTTTGATAGGCATTAAGAATGAATCTCTACTCCATTAAAACAATTTGCTAGCTTTCTAATCTAATTATCAGATGGAAGAAATCAAATGTAGGGGTGTAAATGGTATCTGAATATGTATTCGAGATTTTGGCATTAATGTATTGAATTCGGATAATATAGTAATGGTAGATATGAAATAATATAGTTTAATTTATCAAATCAAATTTGAATATAATCTGATTCCATTCCATAAATATCTAAATCATTGCAACATTCACATATACAAGATAATAAAACTTAAAACCCTTTAATTCTACCTAATTATTTCTTCATTTAATAAAGGGTATAATGGTGCAAAAATCAATTAGATCTGATTCAGATTTAAGCATTCAAATTAATTAGTCAAGTTCAAATTCAACCTTTGTAAGAACCCTATATGACCTAATTCGCTACCTTTACACCCCTAATAAAAAATCAAATGGTTGTGATCATACCAATTTCATCAATTTGTGGCACCAACATTATCTTGATGATGATAGGAAACCAGTAAAAGTCTACCTTTAAGGCCCATTTTCCGTAGATACTAATGTTGGGACCCACGACATAATATGCTGGTCCATGACAGCCAATTCAAGCCCAACATTAGCCCAACCCAAGCCATGAAACACACACAAACACCAGATCAAAAGTTACCAACACTCACCGAAAAAGAATTAAATAGTAAGTAATAAATTGTGATGTGATAAATAAAAAATAAAGGTGGAAAATTTGAAACCTTTGATGGATTGTGTGATAAAATAAAGAAAGCCGGGAGTTTATTGCTTTCTTTGTTATTAATGGAAATGGGATTAGTAAAAGCTTGCTTTGAGAGCAAATATTCCTAACTTGTCCAAACAGTTTGGACCAAGCTTTCATGGTTGGCCCAGCAAGGAAGTTTGAAGAGGATTGGCCAAGAAAAGAAGCCAATCAATGAGAAACAGCTCTACAGTTCACCAATTCAAAGGAATGTGGAGGGAAGATTGGACAAATATGGTGCAGCTGTCTGTGATGATTACTAATTGTGTTTATGGGCCCATTTGTTTTTTTTTTTTTATATAGATGGAATAACATTGATTTATTGATCTAAGGCAAGTTCTGTAGAGACTGGAAATAATGGAGTGTCATGGGTCCTTGGTTCAGAGGATCAGGGACCGCTTTTAGATGGTTTCCACCTAAAAGATCATGCACCATATCATATTTCAGGGTGGGTGTGAGTGCTGGCCCAACTAATCTCCATTTTTGAGATCTACCATGAATTATGATGCCCTCAACTTGGTTTGGGTTAACCAAATATATTTGGGGGTGCTCATGGTCCGGTAATCGTGGCCTTATTTTCCAAATACGATTGGTATTTGAAAAATCGTGAATCGAAACCAACTAGCTAATTGGTTGATCGATTCGATTTTGGATCAGCTTGGTCCGGTTTTTGATATTTAGATGATATGTTATAAATAAACATATAAATATATAATATAAACACTATAAATATATATATAATATTTTATTTTATGTTATAAATATATAGTTATATATAATGTGTGTGTATATATATAGTATAATATGACATAATATATCTAGATATATCGATTGATTTGATTAATCGTCACTTTTTCATATTCATTAACTGAAATAACTAGAATTTTTGTCTCAGTTTTATTGGTTTGATTTATTTTTCCTTTTAGCATAATTTTTAAAATCGGATCAGACCTGAAAAATCGGGAACTGGTTAGGTAATCAGTTCCATTTCACCCTAAAACTGTTTTTTGGCCAAAAGCGTTGATTTTGGTCAATCATTCAAGGGTTGTGGTGAATTACAAATTAGAGCCTCCAATCATTGTATTTCGAGAATGTTCCTTATATTTTGAGAATGTTGATCCCCCTTTGATCTTAAGCTTGAGAATCAACTAGGAGTGGTTTTGGCCAAGGGTTGTCTATGGTTCATTCATGCATGATCTACCCATCATTATAATGAATGGCTTTGACAAGCCAATTTCCAAACCTCAATTGAACTTTATTGTTTGTTAGTGCTGTTAGTGAACTGTTGGAGGACTGTCCCCTGTTGTTAGGGGCTATCCTATGTTAATTTATTTCATTTTTTATTAGATTAGTAAGTATGTATGTGGAAATTCTAGATGATAATGATAATAATAATAATAATAATAATAATAATAATAATAATAATGAAGAAGAAGAAGAAGAAGAAGAAGAATGTATCAAAAATTTTCTATAAATATGTATTGTTAATTTTTGTTTTTTATTACTAATCAGATGCAAATTGAAAAATCCAAATCTGATTACATAAACACCTCATCCAAATATGTGATAATCAGATCAAGCATCATTGGCAGGTGTACCTGCTTAACTACATTCTTCTTTTTGTAATGTTTTATCTTTTTGGTGTTTTTTTTTGTTCATTTATCAAAGAAATATAAGATTTAAATAGAGAAAATTGAATGAGGTGAAAAGTAATAAATTGATTTATAATTTAAACCTCATAATTAAATAGGGATAAAATAAAAAAATGAATATTTTAGTCAAAATAAAATTCCACAATCTTATTCATATTTTTAATAGTAGTGTAAATATAAAATTATAGATGTGTTCAATTTTTTCTATAATTTTTTTTGTATTTCTGCATGTAAAAATATTTATGATATGTCACACTTACTTTTTGTTTAATATGATAATTATATGATATTAAACATGTGCTTTAATTTTTTTTGCAAAATTTATGTATTTTCTTATTTTTTATATTTTATATTTTATTGATTTGTACTATTTATTTAAGACATTAAATGTTAACACATTTTACCCAAAAGTTGAACTATTGATCTTTGCTAAATAGTAAAATAATTTCATTTTTGTTAGTTCTAAATTCTGAATTTCATTTTCATTATCAATAAAAATAATTCTTGTTTATTACACTTATTTTTTTAATTTGATTAATAAAAATATCATAAATGTGTTCAATTTTTTATATTTATTTCTATTTTAAAAATTTTATTACCTAATTATGATTTCATAGGTTGATCAATTTGACTCGAATGGTTGAATTGCTTAGCCACCTCTTGGATAAAGAATTGTTTTGTTTTGGGTCTAAAAGTGCAATAATTACATTAAGAGGTATATTGGTATTGGTGAACTTTTCTTTCCTCTAAACTCTGAATGCAAATAATGTTGTTCTAAATTTTGAAAATTATCACTGTGTGTGTATAGTTTTTGTTTGCCTTTTTTGGGGGTATAATTGGAAAACAAAAAGTTGTATGATTGCACTTTAAGAAATAAAAGATAAGAGGAAACGGACATCCATTTTTTTCTTAAAATTAAAAGATTCTTATTAAGAGATAAGAGTTAAGATGAAACGAACAAGCCCTAAGTGATGACTTTTATCCAAAGGGAGTTTTGTTCATATTGCAATATTCATACTTATTTAGCAAATAATGCTTTATTCATTTACTAGTTGGGACCAATGCAATGCATAGGCATTATTAAGGGAAATTGAAGGAAAAAGGAATCTTATAATAGATAGAGGAATTGATTATACATGTTGCTAATGTATCATGGTTTAACCCATTCCATCCAGATGGTTGAACTATTGACTCTCAACCCAAAGGCAAAAATGGTTCAGCCTTTGAGTCGCTTTTTAAAACACTTATTATTATCAGTAAATGCACAAATAACAATAAAGTTATTGTTAATTACTGATATTCCTGTTAAATAACAGAAAATAAATTTATCGTTAAATTGAAAGGTAATTAAATTGATCCAACAACCCACAATTATTGTTGATAAATAGAAACTAATATAGTTAAGTCACTAATTAACAATAAGATTAAATCAGTAAATCACAGTAAATTAAATCATTAATTATCAATAATTCCATATTAATCAGTAATTAACAGTAATATTCAAAATTTAGTAAATTCCATATTTACCGATATTAATTAATTATAGAATTTACTGTTAATTTATTGATATCAATTCACTGGTAATTTATCAGTAATTTCTGTTAATTACTGATGTCCCTTTTAAATAATATTATTTATATTTACTGTTAAATTTGAAGGTAATTAAATTGACTCAACCTGCAATTATTGTTAATGAATAGAAACTAATATAATTAAATCAATAATTAACAGTAAATTCCATAATACTCAGTAGTTAACAGTATGTATAATTTTGTGTTAATTAATTAATTTATTTTGTCTTAACAAATACTATATAATATTTCATTAAAATTAATTTTTAGATTTTTAATGTTAACAGATAAACTATTGACAAAATAAATTTACTGATGATTTATTGACAAAATAAATAATAATTCATTGATAGCATAATGATAATTTACTAATAATTTAAATTATTGATAATTTATTGGCAAAATAAATTTACTGATAACTTAAATTGGGGGAGGGATTGAGTTAAACTGCACTTTCTTCCCCAATAGTTGCAGAGGTAGAAAGAAACAACAGAGAAGAAATAAATAAGAAAAACAGAGTAAAGAAGAAGAAGAGGAAAAATGACGGA